AAGTCCCTATACTACCAATTTATGTCTGACTAAAACAAAATCAAAATAGCAATTTTTTAGCTATTTATAGATATAAAAATAACACTACAAAAATTTCATGTGATTATTTATCAATAAAAAACTTAATCCATAGCGCCCATTTCAGTTTTTGAAATAAGACGTTTGACTGTAAAGGAATTATAGGTTAAAAATATATGAAACCTTCTGAAATAATTAAAATAACTGGTTATCCAAGCTCTACTGTATATGATATTGTCAACTGATTAAAAAAACTGGAGATATTGAGTACTTACCTTATCCTAGTCATCCTCTTGTTCTTATTCTCAATAAACGTTGATATTTTATCATCTCATCTAAGTTAATAATACAATATTTTCATCTTTAATGATAACGAAATTGAATAATATTTATTCAAACCTTAATATATCAACTTAGACTGTCTAATGCATTCTTAAAAATAAATTTAATTATGTAGTTTGTAGGTCATGAGCTGTTTCTCTTCTTAAATAAAATAATATCAAAGTACATCTCTAGTAGGCTTTAAGACATAATCAAAATGATTGGTTTTATATAATTTTTTAGATGAAAACACTTTTTAAACATTTAGTAATATTCTATTAATACGTTACAAAGCTAGTAGTATATATTCATCATGTCTTATAGTAAAACATTCATATAAAGTGTATGATTAGGATGCATTTTTTCATTAAGAACTGATTGGGATTAAATTATTTACAGGAAATATGAATTCCGAAAAATATTGTGAAATTCTTCAATCTCAGCTTGTTCTTAATGTTTACAGTGCTAGTTACGAGATGCTTCTAATAAGATAATACATCAACTTATATAGCAGAATGCATTCAATAATTTTTTACGGTAAATAATATTCTAGTGATCGATTAGTTTGCAAACTTCTCAGATTTGAATCTAATTGAGAATTTATGGGCTATTCTTAAACAAAAAGTAAGGAAAAGGATTAATAATTGGATTAAAAAAAAAGTGCTTAGTGCAGTTGCTTTTCAGGGCATAATTCAGCAGGAATAGGACAGTATTAATCAAAATATTTTCTTTAATTTAGCGGATAATATGTCAGGTCAGATTAATAAAGTTATAAAAAAAGGATTTACAATTAATTATTGATTTTTTTTATTTTGTTAATCTGTATATTATAATCCATGAATAGCATAAATATGGAACTAATAAAATAAGATTTACAATATTTTTATTTGTCATGATAAATTCTGGATATTTATATCACGAATTGTAACTATATATTGATTATAATTAAAGCGTCATATGATTTTGACATATATTTATTATATATTATATATATATATTATATTATATTATATTATATAAAGATTATAAGATTATAAGATATTAGTTATTATAAGATATAAGATAAGATGAGAAAATCATATAACATTATATAGATATTCAAAAAGAGATTTTTATTGCATAACTGTAATTTGTTTTTCTCAAGCAGCTGATATTTTCTTTTTTAATTTTTATATAATATTACATAATTTATTAGGTTTATTTATACAGGTAATCTAAACGTTACTATTATACACATTTTTTTTATTATATAAGATTATAAAATTATAAGATATTAGTTATTATAAGATATAAGATAAGATGAGAAGATCACGTAATATTACACATACATCTAAAAAGGAATTTTGTGTAATTTTTTTGCATAACCGTAATTCATTTTTCTCAAGTAGTCAATATTTTCTTTTTAGTTTTTAGTATAACATTACACAATTCATTAAGTTTATTTATATAGATAATCTAAGCATCACTATTACACACATTTTTTTTATTATAAGATTTAAATATTATTAATTATTAATTATAATATAATAATAAATTATTAAATACATTGAAATTTTCATAGCTTTTACAAAAATTTTAAAAAGAAATTAAAAAATTATATGACTATTTAATAAATTAAAAGAAAACAATAAGAAAATTTGTAATTAATAAAAATATATTATAAAATAGATTTATATTTTAAAGACTTATTTTCTAATTAACTAAAAGAAAATATAAATCATTAGTTTAATTTCTTTAAAATAAATTTATTCATAAGTTTATAAATAAGATTTTCTTTTAAACAAAGATAATATAAAGTGAAAAGAAATCAGATTATCAGATTAAATAAATATTATATAAATTTTTTTTATATAATGAAATTATATAGACAAATCTATTTTGATATTAATTTTCAGTTTCTATTCATTATTCTTTAAGTTTATTAGTAGTATTATTCATTATAATTATTTTAATATATAATACAAAAAATAAAATAATATATTTAATATAAAAAATAAAATATTATATTAAATTTAAAATAATAATTTGTAGATTAATCATAATTTAGATTACTGAATAAAATTAAAGGTTTTGCAAATCATCTAAATAATAAAAAAAAAAAAAATTATATTAAACTTATAAAAATAATGAAACTATATCAAAATTTTAGTAAAAAATAAGTAAAATTAAAATTTAGATATTTTGTCAAATTTAAATGAGTTTAGATTAATTTTAGTTACAATATATTATTCCTATTTGATAAATATAGGTAAATTAGTTTAATTAGTAAATATTATACAAATTTATATGATATTTATTTGTATTAATTGTACAATTATACAATTGTGCAATTAAAAATAATAACTAATTATATTTTTTTTCTAATATTAATCAAACTTAATAATCTACAAAAAAGAAATTATTTAAAAATTTTTAGTTTATTTTTACTATTTTATTAAGATTATAAAATATATTAATATTTATTTGTAATATAAAGATATATTATAGCTTAAAAATTTGTTTAAAATAAAAAAAAATGTGAGAATATATTGTTTCTATAGCTTAAAACTATTACTTTTTTTCTTTTATATTTTAAAAGAATTTTACAAGGTAATATATTATATTAAATATCAAATTTTTTAAAAATACTTAAATAAAAATTCTGTAAAATATCAAATGTTTGTAAAGTAATATAAAAAATAACTTTATTTTTATTATATAAATGCTTATTATTCTATACTAGTAAAAATAACTAAATTATTTATAGGTTATATATATAAATCGTAAGCATATAATTATTATATTAACTCTAAATAACCTAAATTATATATAACAAACTATAGAAAAATAGGCATATTTCATATATACATTAATAGATATTTGTCTATATATATTTTTTTCTAAAGATTTTTTTTATAAGTTTATTATTATATATATTTGTTATTCCTTAAACTGTAGAGTAGGCAAATTTGCTTATAAATATAAAAAATTATTAATCTTTTAATAAAAAATAAAATATTAACATTAATAATATAATTATTATATAAAAAATATAATTTAATATATATTTTATCAATTTTATTAGAAGTTTATTAAGAAGTTTTTAAATAATTCAATTTTTAAAGTTAAGTTTTGAAAATTTTATTATAATAATTTTTTAAAATTTTCTTAAAATTCATATATTTACAAACTAATTAAATCACTTTTACTATTAATAAAAATCATAAAATTTCTTAGTAAATTATAAAAGTTGTAATAATTAAAATTATTTTTTATGATAAATTTATAATATTCTATTATTGATTAATATTGCTAAAAGTAAATATTAATAAGATGGTCAAAGATTAATAATAAAATTTTTTAATTTATAATTTTTTTAAAAATTTTTAGCTTATAAGTAACCTTAAATTATTTATTATATAATTAAAAAATAAAATTTGCTATAATATTATATATATATTTATAAAATTAATTTAAAATTTTTATAAAAGTAAATCAGAAGGTAAATAAGTAAGCAAATTTGCCTGTGAAATCTTACAGTTTTAGAAATAATTTAAAATCTAAAATGTTAATATTGGATAAACTAATTATAAAAAATTGAATTTATATAAGACAAATTATTTTTTTTAAAAGTTTTAAATTAAAACAAAATTTTACTAATAAAATGAAAATATAAATTAATAAAAAAGTTAAATAATAAAGAATGCTTTAATAAATTAAAAATGTATAGTGTAAAAGAAATAGTAAATAAAAATATAATAAGTTATTAGCATAAAGGTTAAAGTAGAGTAATTAATTTATGAGCATTGATGTGAAAAGTCTAAAATATCATGGTATTTCTGTAGACATACTTTATTTTGATTATGATGTGATAATGATAATGAAAATACAGATAATGGTTGAGGTGGTTTATTGTTTGTTTAAAGCTATAAATAAATATATTGTTTGATTATTCTTATTATATTGTATATGTTAATAAATATTAAATAAAAATAAAGAAAAAATTTTTTTATTAAATTAATTGTGATATAATCCGATTCATTGAATTCTCCTGCATGAAATGTGTAAATCATTTTTTTCAAACCGAAAAAAAAAAATTTAATGGGCTTCAAAAGAAGAATCTTTAATTTTCAGTAATATTTTAAATTTTAAATTAGTAATTATCAATAGAAAATTTTATATTTATGTTTTAAACCCTTATCAATGACAAAAATGCCAATATCGTTAATTTTTTGAATAAATTTTTCTTTTCCTGCGTTTATGAATGAATTTTCATTGGTTCATTGGCAACATAAAAAAAAAGTTGAATTATTATTTATATATATGCGCCCCCACCTAGATTTGAACTAGGAACCTTTCGGTTAACAGCCGAACGCGCTAGCCGGTTGCGCCATGGAGGCTTTTCATATGACGTGACAATTTTAAACATATAATATATAATATAATTAATTAATAAGAGATAATACCAAAAAGTTCATTTAGAAGGGATAAAAAATGGTTTAAAGAAGTTTTCGATAAGAAAAAGAAAAAAGTATGTGTCTTTAATAATCAATCATTTGCCAAATTCATATAAGAACTGAGAGTATGTCGTCATCACGTTTATCTTTTTTTTTGTTAAAAAAAAAAAAGGCTGATCAATAAATCTTCATTTTCTTTCTTTCTTTTTGATTTATATAAATAAAATGGCGACATCATTTTCAATTCGACCACAATTTATATATGATAAAGTAATAAATTGGTTTCCAGGTCATATGGCAAAAGGAATAAGGATAATATCTGAGAGATTATCAAGTGTAGATTTAATTGTTGAAGCCAGGGATGCTAGAATATCCTTTTCTAAAAAAAAAGTGAGGATTTTTTTTTTTAAAAAAAAAAAAATTTTTTTTGATAATATCCCTTAACCTATTTTATAAATATAATTTACACATCCCATTATCTTCTATAAATCATAAATTTGAACAAATTGCTGGTGGAAAAGATAGAATCGTTGTTTATAATAAAGCTGATTTAGCTGATGATAGTGTGCAACAAGTAAATAAAATCATCCAAAGTTGACTATTTGAAGAAAGTACAATATAGTTTAATAATTTCTTCCTTTTCAGCCGATAATTGATGCATTTAGAAAACATCGTAATCAACATGTTATATTTACAAACGCAAACATGGATAAAAATGTAAAAAAAATCATTAATTTTGCCGCAGGTAAATCAAAAAAAAAAAAATTTCAACTTATTGTCATAGTTTAATCGTTAAATTGTTGTTAAGAAAAATATAGACGGGATCCGTCAAGCTATCCTTTTGTTACAGTTATGGTAGTTGGGATGCCAAACGTTGGGAAGTCCTCTTTAATTAATTCAATGAGAAGAATTGGTGTACATAAAGGTAAAAATAACCTTACGAGGCAAAAGCATTTGTCTCAGGTGTTAGTTTTTTTTTTAAAATAAAAAAATTATTATAATAGGAAAAGCTGCAAAAACTGGTGCACTACCAGGAGTAACTCGATCAGTTGCTGTCACGTCCATCAAAGTCCTAGAAGATCCTCCAGTATATTTAATCGATACGCCCGGTAAAATAGAATTTTTTTTCTTGAATGTAAAAAATCAATAAAGTATCGAACTAAAGAAAGAACGGATTAACAATGTAGGTGTTATGATACCACACATTCCGGACCCTGTGAGTTCCCTAAAGGTTGCATTAACAGGTAACATCACACGCAAATTGAAAGTTACATTTTCCATTTTTTTATAACTTTTTTTTTCCTGAATTATAGGAGGTATAAGAGATCATTTATCGAGTGAAGAAGTTATGGCGGATTATTTACTTTGGCGTTTAAATAATTTTGGAAATTTCAGGTATTTCACTTTCCAATCAAACTTATCAATTTACCCAAACATTTAAATTCCTTTCCTTTTTATGCTAGTTACGTGGAAAAATTTAAATTGTCAGGTCCTACAGATGACATAAATTTCCTGTTACCAGCAATATCAAAACGTATAGGTGCGTTACAAAAATATGGCGAATTTGACCTGAGAACTGCCGCGATGTTTTTTATTAAACAATATCGAGATGGTAAATATGGTAAATATACTTTAGATGATATCACCATCGATACTCTAAATAAATATTTTCTTAATGAAAATAATCCCGATAAACATATTTTGTTGAGTAAAAATCAAGAAAAAAAATTATTATGGGAGAAAAAAAAAGAAAAGAGGTTAGAAAGATGGAAAAGACAAGGTTATTCTATCAGAAAATCCAATTCGAAAGGTGGTTAGTTTACTTGTATTGAAAACAAGTCAATTATGCATTCAGAAGTCTTTGCTCGTTAAATAATTAAATTTACATCTGTTTCATAAAAAGAAACGAGAGTTTTTTTTTTATTATGATTAATAATAATAAATTTTTTCCTTTTTTTTTGTTTTTTCTTTTTTTTATAAATAATACAATATAAATGTTTTAATACATGAATGCCCAGAAAAATAAAAAATGACTATATATATTATTGAATTTCAATCGCTCTTATCGTAGTCGTCTTTGCCTGTTTAAAAGCCAATAAAACCCTAGAAATAAGGACGACTTTACGAACTTTTGCGACAGTTTTAGCAATTTTTGCTTTAGAAATTGCATCAGCTTTACGATTTAATAATTTGGTTTTTCTTGATTTAGAAGGCCATAATTTGGCAGTAAGTTCAAACGACCAATATCTGAAGAGCATTACTTTAACGAAATCTAAAATGACAAAGTATCCTAATGAAATCGCGATAATGGTTACCCCCCATGCCCATCCTATTGGTTCTGTAAGTAATCCATAAATTGAGATAAACATGGCAAATACTTGTGTACCTAAAACCGCAATGATGAATATAGGGGATGGAAGATTTTCCCAAAAATATCCCGAAAGACGTGTCGAAAAGATGACAAAATGAGGACATGAAGAAATGTGAAGATACATAATTGTTTCAATTTCTTCAAGACTCTTATGGAATACATCTCTAGCGACATAAAAATGTGTGAATGAAGCCGCAGTTAATAAAGTACCCAAAACTATTGATAATGTAATCAATTGTCCGAGACGCCATTTATCAGGACGTTCTGAAATTTTAGCATTGTCAACCGAAATGACGAGAGTAGCTCCATCATTTAACAGTGCAATCAAAATCAAAAGGATAGCTCTCATCGTCCAATCCTCGATTAAAGTGATAAAGAAAAAGAACATTAAAAAGTGAACGGTGGATGTGATACGATAAAGTGCATAAGATCTCATTCGTTGAAAAATCGCGCGAGACGTAGTGATACCATCAACAATAGTAGAAAGCCCAGGAGCTAATAAAACGATATCGGCGGCAGATCTGGCAGCATCCGTACACCCATGTACTGCAATTCCAACGTTGGCTTTCTTTAGAGCTGGAGCATCATTTACACCATCACCAGTCATACCAACAAGAAGTCCACGTTTTTGCAAAAGTTCTACAACACGATATTTATGTTCTGGAATAACTTGAGCAAAACCATCGGCGCGTTCACAATTCCTTGTAACTTCTTCATCTGATTTCTCGGGATCAACGAGATATCCTGCATCCAAGATTACACGATTCATTCCAAGACGATGAGCTACTTCCTTAGCAATAATCAATTGATCACCAGTAATCATCTTAACTTCAACTCCATATTCTCCGCAACGTTTAATTGTTTCGGCTGAATCCGGACGAGGAGGATCTAGAAGTGTAATCATACCAACGAGATCAAAAGTTTCAAGATCTCCAGGTACAGTACGAGCGATACCAAGGGCACGAAGACCTCGAGCGGCTAAACTATTAACAGCATGAACTGCATCATCATTACCACCAACAAGCTTAATGATAACTTGTGGAGCTCCTTTCGCAACTTTAAAAACTTCGTTTGTATTATTATCAATAACGGTTGCGTATGACATCTTTGTGTTTGGATTAAACGGAACAAATCCTGTAACTTTATATCCGGGAACTTCGTGTTTATTTGGTCGAGATTGAAGGATTTCTAAATCACTTTCAGCAGCAAAACGAACAGCGGTTTCAATCGGATCATTTGCACCAGGTTCAGCTGAAAGGTAAGAAAATAAAAGAATATCGTCTTTCGTGTAACCAGGGCAGAGATAAGGTTCATCGAAGGTTAACTCATTAAGTGTTAATGTACCGGTCTTATCAGAACAAAGTACCGAGACTGAAGCCATTTCTTCAACAGCCGTAAGACGTTTTACGATAACTTTTTTAGCAGCCAATTGTTTTGCGCCGACGGCCATAGTGACGGATAAGACAGTTGGTAAACCAACAGGAATGGCAGCAATGGTCAATACAAGCACGTTACCAAGGACGGTAAGAAATTTGCCTTGTTCGGTTCCGCGGAATTTTACCATTTGATAAATGAAGATGATAGAAACCAAAACAACGGTAACTAAGATCAAAAAGTTTCCGATGGAATTAACAATCTTTTGGAAATGTCCTTGTTCCACAGTGATCGAAATTAAATTGGCCGCCCGTCCGATAAAAGTATTTGATCCGGTTTTAGTGACGACTGCCAACATTTGACCTTGTTTTACAATTGAAGAAGAATAAACGGTGCTACCCTTCTTTTTCTCAACTGGAAGAGATTCACCGGTCAAAGCAGACTGATCGATTTGAAGCGATCCTTCAGTTTCACCACCAGTTACTGAAATTCCAAGAAGACGGGCGTCCGCGGGAATAATGTCTCCGAGGCGAAGACCGATGACGTCACCAGGAACAAGATCAGCTACGTCAACTTCAACGAATTGGGCATCACGCCAAACTTTTGCTTTCAACGCGAGCGTTTGCTTCAAGGCATCTAATGCAGATTCGGCACGTGCCTCTTCTATGAAACCAATAAAAGCATTGACAAACAGCAATGCCAAAATGATACCGAAATCGATCTGTGAATAGCATGAAAATAAGAAGTGGATTTAATAAACAAAAGAGGTTTATTTCACGGATAAAAGTATAAACCAATCTCTTACCCAATGTTTCACAATAACAGCGAAAATACAAGCCACTTCAATTAAGTAAGCAATTGCTCCAGTGAAAAAGGATAGAAATTTGAGAATTGGGTTCGTTTTGGATTCAGCCAATTCATTTTTACCAAAATCTATCAACCGTTTTTGAGCTTCAGCTGTAGTTAAACCGGTAGCAGGATCAGTTTGGAGCAAAGCTTCTAATTCCGCTGAAATGTCTTCTTGCATTTCGATATGTTTATGTTCTATGATCTCAGCGGGTTTTTTTTCAACATCCCTTGAGGTTGAGGAAGAAACAGTAATTTCTTGATCGATTTCTCTTTTTTCTGATGACATTATTAAATAGGGTGATTATTTTTTCTATATATACTATTTACTTTTTAAGAAAAAATATTGTTTTATTTAATTTTTTTCCTATGCGAGAAATAAATTATTGAAATTAAAAATTATATTTTACAAAATAATAAGACTATTAATTAAGAAAGGTAGAGAAGGAAAGAAGGAAGAAAAGACAGATTTTAATTAATATAAGTGATTAATCGAAACTTGACGAGAATGGATCGATTTTATAGCTTTTTTTTTTTTTTAAAAAAAAAAAAGGGTTATCGAATTAATCGATTTTTGGTTTATTTATTTTAATGAACAATTTATAACTACTACATTATATCATCCCGAAAGAAGTGTTCTTTTTGGGAATGAAATCTGTTACAATTGGGAATACGTGCGCATTAATGGTTAGCATCTTTTTTCCAAACTGACACCAATTTAGTATTACTGCGGTTGATTCAAGAAAAGGGAATAAAACATCGACAATGTACATTTATCCAATCAAGTTAACTTTTTCATGCCAAGAAATTTAGAAATTCAATTAATGGAGTCTCGATATCTAAATCTTTGTGATATCAAAAAAAAAAAAAATAATAAGTGATCTCTTGGCTTTTTTTTGCTCAAAAAATAATTTGGACAGGATTTTCTTATCGGATAAAATGGATCAACGGCCCTTGCCGTTATTCGTCAAAAATTTACACCTTTCAAAAAGTAATAATTGATCGAAGAATTTAAAAGGGCTATTTTGTTTTTTCTTAGTTGATGTCATTTGATTTATTTATTTGATTCTCGTGTCGAAGTCTTGTTCTAACAAATAAGGAATTTGTTTTATTTCATTTAAAATTTGCGCCTTATAAATATCTTAATTGCCAAGACTCCACGAGACATTAAAAAATTTTTATATTTCATTTTTATTTATTTTGTATGACATTGGATATTCTTACTAAATTTACATGCAGATTATATATTGTGTATTTTCTTGGCATTTCCAAATGCATTATTGAACTTACAACTTACTATGGACCAATTTTATCTATTGTAATCACACCCGTTCAACATAAGGTTTTATCGATGTCTTTTGATCCGATTTGCGTAAACTTGCGCTTCAGGGTTTAATTTTAGCAATTCCGGGTCGAGATTTTTTGCATCAAGTAGATCAATAGTTATTTTACAATAAAAAAAGATTTATTTTATTTTTTTTAAAGGGTGACATGTTTCTATTGCCAACTTATGAATTCATGTCAACCTTGTAAAATGTTAAATATTAGCAAAGAATTTTGCCGTTGCAAAGAGTTTTATTTTTTTTTTTTTATTTTTTTTTTTATAACAATGGAAAAAAAAGAGATTTTCTCTACATTCGGAATTCGACATGAAAAGCCCGAAATTCGGCATTTCTATTTAATATGTTTAGATTCAGTTGATTCATCAAATTTTTGTAATAATAATCAATTCAATTTATCAAATAAATTACTTGATTTGTAAAAACCATATCAGATTATAACTAAAATCAATTACCATGTATGTTCATTATTTCATGCATAACCCTGTTTATCATTCGCGTGACTTGGTGATTTGTCTAAATTTAGTTGGCCTGAATTATTTGGAACTATTGGCGTTTATATGTATTTAACCGCTTTTATTCATTCAAAATTTTAGTAAAAAAACAATCCGATCTAAATTGTCCTAGAATAGTTAGGTACATTTCATCGTCAAAACTTTAATAAACCAATCAAATTTATTGTTATATGATCGTATCGTAATCACAATCATATCAATCGTGTCATTATATATTTGTAAATATTAATCATAATCAGAAGACTATTTAAGAAAGATATAGAAATTATAATTGCTATCATTTTAGATGAATTATTAAAGGAATAGTACGAAAAAAAGTTAATAAATATATCAATTCAAAAATAATTATATTTTATAATAGTATCATCCTGATATAGATTATAATTATCTTTAATAATTCATTCAAAATTTACAAGTAAATATGGTGTTTGAAGTCTTAATTCAACAATAAAAGTTGTAACACTTAAAAATTTTTCAACTTCTTAAAAAGTAAAATTTCAATAAAATAAACCGGTAACTTTATTCTTTAAGATGAATACTAATTAAATTACCCAAAAATCGGATGATTTTCATATGACATCAAATCACGTATATGCAATTTTATTGGCCAGAATTTAACGATAATTTGGGCCGACACTATCATTATTATAATTCTGGCCCGAATTATCGCAATTAATTATACTCGAAAAAAATTCACTTAAAATTCGAAATTTTTGTACGACATAAAATTTGATAATTAAAAAGTTTGTGCCCTTCTCGCAATATTTTTTATAATAGGCGAGACATACCACACCAAAGAAAGAACTTATCATAATATCTGTTAAAAGTTAATGATGAATTTCTAATAATATTATGTTTCTCATTTCTTACAACCATTTTTTAAAATAATATTCAATTAGTAATGCTTGTTAAAAATACAAAAATCTGAATCATTTTTAAAAGTAAAACTTGTTTTGAAACTACAATGGTTACTACAACAATGATAACAATAAGCTGTAATATTCAGGAATAAAAGGTAAATATTTTATTATATGGTTTAAATTTTAAAATTTTGGATTAATTTTTTTATTTGCAACTTTGTAATTATTAAATTAACAAAAAAATAACTTACAGAGGGTGATCACGGATACCCGAACAATTAATTAAACTATTTGAATATACTTATTATATTAACTTTTTTTTTAG